TTTTTCTAAAAAAATATGTATTAAGTAAAGCTAAAAATTATTTAAAAGTAAGAATAAAATAAAACTCGAATAAATGCAATCTCTTTATTTTAAAAAGTTTACATCTACATTACGTTTTACCAAACATGTCAATTATGATTATTATAGTGCCTACCTATATTGAAATACGAGAAGTATCCGAAATTCGTTAAACAAATTGTATTCGTAAGGAGTTAACAAATATGATGTATCTAAATTCTCAAAAAAACGATTTGACTAAACTAATACTACACATGGTCTGCGATAATCTAAAATTTACCAAGAACGTGGTATCATGTAAAAGAAAAGGCCAACATTATTGGCGTTTATCCGAGGAGGGGAGTAACCTTAATAGTTACTAAGCCACCTAAAAAATATTTGCCAAATTGTAAGAAACATTTTTTTCAAATATTCATCGCACATTTCAAATATTGAGAACATTTTCTTTATAATATTATATTCATAATAATTACTAATAATCATTAATAATTACTCGCACAGTGATTTATACCGAATTTATACAAATTGCTACAAGTAGCACTCACTTTGGTCTGCAACGTGTGAGCGTAGTTTTTCAGCTGTATCTACGTAGAAGTAAGACATGGGTGAGAACTTCTATGCTCCAAGATTGATTTACTAATCTATCTATTCTTCAGATTAAAAAATACCTGACTTAAAGTATTGAAAGTGAAGATATTTTAAATTAATTCTCTAAATCCTCCAAAATTCAGGTTTTAAAATAAATTATCCCTTACTGTTATTACTTAATTATTTAAATGTTAATTGTCTTTTATGCAATGTATAATTTTTTAGTATTAATAAAAAAATAGTTTTTTTTATAGATAAAATAAAATTTGAATATAATGTTTATAATTGGTAAATTATTAAACTCTATAGGGGTTGTGGGGGCAAAGCCCCCACTTTTTGGATTTATGTAAATAATTCTACAAGCGTCTAGAGACAGAAAACGACGAATGGCTGCAAGATGGCGGCCTTTAATGGCGGATAAATTTATCAATTGTATTTCTTATCTTCACTAACATTTATCAGTTGGTGATATTATAGAGATGATATTTTCACTTTCAGAGATTATGAAATATTTAAATATATTAAAAAAATATTCACAGTTCATGAAAATAATTAGTAGTTAAACTTCAATTACTGATAAATATTTAAGAAAATTTTTTGTATACATAAATAGTTATAATAATAAAATGTTAATAATTAATAGGTAGGTATAATATAACTAAAATATAAAATATATAATATAAAAATATGAAAAAAATGTATGTAAACTTTAAATATAATAAAGTAGTATTTAAGCGTTGAATTATTATAAAATAATTCTCTGTTGGTAAATAGAACAAGTTTTGTGAAGATTCCTTTTTAATTCAACATCTATAATCCCAAGCAGGAAATCTCTAGAAATGGGAAATCATAAAAATGATAAATTGTTTATGATATAACTCTAATCTTTGTAATAATTGAGATTATTAAATAATAAAACTTATACTTTCATGATATGATATATAGCTATTTATAAAATATTATAGCTCCATAACAGAGGTCTGGACCTTTTTTTTATGTCAATCAGTGGTAGGTGTGTAGTTGAATGATTAACGAATCAGAATCTAAAATATTGTATACAACATGTTCAACCTTTAACATCATTTAAGAATGGTTATGTTAATGTTTTTTAGAATGGTCTGTTACTATTATGCAATACTAATTTTAACAGTTTTTTAGGTTTTAATTTATTTTATATCATGAATAATAAATAAAATATATATCGATAATCTTGATACTTGAGATAAGTGTTAAATTTTGAAAATTTTAAATTGCTATTATGGATAACACATTTTATAACTAAACAATTCATATTAAAATATTTCATAATCTTTGAAAGTAAATTTATCACATAATATATTTATTGTGATATTAGAGATTTAAAACAATTGTTATTGTTTAAAATCCTTGGATAATATTGACACAGATATGTACAATAATTATTATTGTACATATCTGTAAATGTTAGTGAAGATAAGAGATACGATTGATAAGAGCATAAGGCCGCCATCTTGCAGCCATTCGTCGTTTTCTGTCTCTAGACGCTTGTAATAATTGTAGACCCCCTCCAATATATTCTATGGATATCCGCTTATGGCCAACATGAATATATTCGGCAACCATAGAGATTATTATAAATTATAATGATATTAAAATCCAAAATGTATCAATTACTATAATCATTACTAGAGAATCGATCAAATTAGACATAAGTAATAATGAATATAGTAACAATTAATCAAAATATCTCACATGTAACAACTGTTTATTATACAAAATGCTTAGTTCAATATTATTTCCTTAATGATATCTTTTACAATAGGTCTTTGAAATATTTGTTTAAAAAATGTATTTGTTAAGTAAAATGACACATTTTTATTAAATACAATCATTCCCTTTTTCATATGCTTCAATCATTTTTTTTTTTTGTTTTTGTAAATAAGACATGAGCTGCTAGTTGGACATCCCTAATATAAGCTGTAATGTTATGTAGAGACAATGTAACTTGTTAAATAATTAAAGGAACATAAGGTATCCATAATCAAAAGACAATGCCTATTCAATATTTTTTTTGTGACAGTACTTTGTTAATTTTAATCAACTTATTTGATTAAAATTCATAAAGTATTGTTACAAAAAAAAAATAAGTTTCTGATAACTGACATGATTATAACATGACTACTCGCTAATGGGGACCAGGGTGTCTACATGACTAACTAAAATAGTTGTCTCAGTATTTTAATCTCCGGTTTCACTCAGCGGTCAATTCATAGAATTAATACAAAAGAAGTTCGTTTACAATTACATAAAACATGAACATAATGTGCATACATATAAATAAATACCATTGAAAGTCTATTTGATGTTATTATTTGAAAAATGAAAAAATGTATTCATACAATATCATAATTTAGTAAATTTAATAATACAAATAATAATAATTGTATAATTATTACATCAATACCTTTTGTTAAATATAATTTTTCTTTAAATAATAACGTTATAAACTAAAGGTACATTAATCTACATTACATCAAGCATGATTAATTGAAACAATTATTATTTACTCACCATCTTAAAATATCCAATTTAAAAATAAGGCCAAAGAAACATTAAAAAATGTATAATATTAAAATGTTATATAAAGATATATAATATAATATATGTAAAAAGAAAAATTTATGATTTTTTATGTACCTAATAAAATATTCAGATTAATTTTTGTAAAAACAAGTGAATAAATGTAATTTAAATAAATAATTGGAAGTAACAAAATGTGTATTAATGTAATTAAATAATATCAATAAATAGAATAGTAAATGTAACAATTGATAAATTTACATCAAAATTATAAAAAAAATACTTAATATTTTGTTAATTAATAGTTGAATAAATTAAGTACCTATATATATATATATATTTTTTATATTCTGACTATGCTCATTTTCTTGAGATTTTGAGTCATAAAAAATGCATAACTTCATTGTATATAATATATACTTATTTTACTTACTCTTAGAAAACTACTTTTTGGTACTAAATATTAAAATAATAACTCACATAAAAAAAAAATTATAAAAATATATTATAAGAAAAATGATTTTGACAAAGATCAATATTGAATAATATTTTTGACATTCTTGATTTCACTTATGAGATAATATTATATGCTTTATAATCTGATTATAGTAATTTTTTTTCTACCTGATCTTTCTCTTTTAAGTTCAAAATAATAATTTCTCCAGTCAGTTATAGTGTGTTCTATTTGATTTCTTTGAATATTTGTTACCTTCTTTAGCTCTTCATTAACAAGTTTTTTCCATAAGGAATTATTATTGACCACTAAATTATACATTTTTTTACAGCATCTCATTAAGACATATAAATCTGATGGGTCTAGTTTTGTTATAATAATAATAATTAGTTCTTCAGGAATTCCATACAAACATGGATATTGACCAACAGTATTTTCTAATATAGCACATTTTATTGGAAAACTAACTACATTTTTAAATTGTATTGACAAATTAGAAAAAATTGATATTTCTGAGTTGCAATTATTATTTTCGAGTAAAAAACATTTTGATACATTTGAATGACTTAAAGTAATTATAAGTGAATCACCATTAGGAACTCCAGTCAAATGGCATAACTGATTAGACATTACTAGTTGGGAAGTGAAAATATTATTATTTTGATTCCAAAATGAATTAAGTGGTAGACTATTTATCATTTTAGCTAGTTGAATATTTGAATTTATTGAATCAAAATGTTTTGTTAAAGAAATTGGAATAAAGCCAGTTTCAACAGTGAATACAAAAGCAATACCGAATAACTTCTCAAGCCCTGAGCTGATAAGTGTATTTGACAGAAGTGATGAAAAGTCCAATGCAAGAGAATTATTTTCCAAATAAACAGTCATGTTCAAGATGATCAAAATAAATACAGTTAAAAATTTCAAAAGTTTTTTCAGTTTTTAATTCCCAATATAATAA